TTAATTTTTTTTTCTATGGTGTTTTTCATGTCTATATAAAATATTTATAACCGTTTTTAAATAAAGCTAATTATAATAGTATAGTATACTATTTACCAAAGTACTACATAGGTGATAAGTTTAATATATTTAGTATATATTATTATTGTTATTTGATTCTATGTAGACAGTTATAGGTGTACCTACTTAGAAAGAACCACTTATTTAATTATAAAATAAATTGTATAGATGTTATAATAAAGATCAAGATAATGATAAATAAAATCTTCATGCCTGAAAAAATGTTTTGTATTGTTACGTAATTTTTAAATGCAACACTTAACGGTTTTTAAAAAGTTTCACTGCTTTGTTGCCATAACTCATAATTGAGAATATCAAAATGTTTAATCAAAAAATTCTCAAAGAACATAAATTACAATACTTAATGACATCACACAAAAAATGTTTTTTTACGGTTTGACTGCGGTAAAGACTTGTAAAGTAGGTGTACTTGAAAAGAGAATAACTGATTGAAATTACAAAGTTTCCGGAAAATTAAAACTATTAGACTGTAGGTATAACCATAGAAATAATTATTTACATTTTTATTTTATTTTTTACTTAAACATAATACTAGTTAAAAAAAAAACTAATGTCACTTTTTTATACATAAAGATAATTGCTCACATTATACTTACTTATAATTTCATTCAACTTTTAGTCAAATCTCTTCAAAAATAATCTAAATATATACACAAAGCAGTGATTGTTCAATGATATGTTTTTATTATTAATTATACTGACTCGGCGACAAGAGTTTTTGTTTTGTACATTTAAGGGATTATTTTACAATATTATACATTAAGAACATAGTAAAAACAAAAAATACAATGTCTAAGTACTAAAAGATATTTTTGTAAAGTACTAGATTTTTGTATGCAACGCGGAATTTTTAAAGACTTTATACTTCTGGCGTTATAGTTTATACTTATAAATTCGGTTCAAATGTACTTAACCGTTAGGGGATCATTCAGGGACGCCCACAGAAATGTAGCTCAGGGGGGGCAAAACAATTGTAAGTACCTAAATACTTCTAGGAAGATTTACTGCTACATATTTCATCTACTCATATTTTGTATTACTATCATTAATAATTTTTTAAAAATCAAAAATCATTTAAGTTTATATAAAATTACATTATTAGTTATTAGTTTTAATATTTATAAGAAAAAATATAATAAAGTTTAAACAAAAAACAACTTTATTTGATTGAGTTCCCATCATATTTTATTATTTTATTCAAAAAGTAATGACAATCTCCTTTTGTTTGAAGCAAATAAATTAATTGAATCATCATTTGTTGATTAAAAAAATGTTAGATACTTGTTAGATACAAGGATTGTCGAATAGTCACTGAATACCCAAGATCAGCTTTATGTAAAATAACTTCCAATTTTGTAAGTGACGCGAAAATCTCAAGGGGGGCAATGGCCCCCACTGTCCCCCCCCCATCCGAGCGTCCCTGGGATCATTACAAGTTGGGCATCTTGGAGAATCTTTATTCTTTATCAGGTAGTCATGAGTTAATATGGTATTGGTCAATTGCAGTGGCGAAGCGTCATATGATATAATGAGACAATGTATACCCACTTTTAATATGGATACATAATTTGGTTTTATTATATTTTATTTATTTTTATATAATATACCTATACTTCAATGTTTATCATAGTTTTACTTTTGTGCCATACCGTATAAGTATTCTTAAAATAGATTAGTTGCGGTCTGTGCACGCGAGCTGTTGTCCACTGTGGCGTAGTGGTTAATTTTATTAACATCAAAATACAGGTATAGAAATTAATATTATGAGACGACGCGTTGCAGTGTCTCGTTTTTCAAGGCACGGTGTGCAGGGGGCATAGGTTATTGAACGGGGCTTATCATTGCACTATGAAACATGTCTCGCGTTCGTATTTATTATTTCATTTTAATATTAGGGATGGGGATTACAACTCATTTTGCTGAACTGAATCTTTCAACTCAGTTCAGTGTAATGAACTGAATCAAAGAGTCGACTCCCAACTCTTCAACTCTTTGTTTGAATCAGATTACCACTACTCTAATCAACTCTTCAAGTCTCGACTCTTGATTCAACTCACAAGTTCACAGTCCATATTCGTGACTAGCTTATCGCATATGAAACTATTTATGACTATAAGCGTACGTTACGAATTTTTTCAGAAAGTCGGAAATCATGTTTTAAGAAACAATGGAAATATTAATAACCAAATCCAAGGGGAACTATTGTTTAAGTTGGTATTAAATTTTCCGTTTGTGTTCGCAAACCGTTTTCAAGGGAGTTGAGAGTCGAGAGTCATGTATCTACAGTAGTACAGTTGTGAGTTATGAGTTTAACTGAGTCAGTCAGTCACTGAGTCACTGAGTCGCCAACTCTTGTAACACTGATTCGACTCGTCCAGTTCATTTTTAAGAGTCGACTCACTGAGTCGATTAGTTCATGAACTACACATCCTATACATTATTGTAATCGTCATTGCTTTTCGCGTTGATGCGTTATCGTTCAACGCAATTTTGTTATCATAGTTATTGGTTGGTTTTTATTTTACGGTTTATTTATTTCTGGCATGATATTCGTATCTAAATATTAAAATATTGTACTATTGTCATTCGCCGCTATGCCTGATTATTTAATTAATGAAATGTTGAATGATGGAATAATAAACTACTCATACGAAAAGAAATATCAAATAAAAAATAAAAGATCGTGTCCCTTTTATTATAAATACATATAAAGTTATAAATGGGAAGGGGGCTGTAACGTATTATTTTAATGTCTCCTCAACTTAAATACTCGTGCTTCGCCACTGGTCAATTGGTATGTCTAATTTTGAGACGGTTTATGACCATTTCTTCCTTTCTGGTAAGTGTGTTGTTGGGCCAGGGGAGAAGTTCAATAAGTTATTTGAAGACAAAAGATCATGTACTAATTTTGTTTTTAAATTCCAATGTGTTTCATTGTTACTGTAATGGAAATAATATTTCTATTGAAGAATAATTTTTTATAAAATCTAAAACCCTTCATTAATATTTTTCACGTAAAAGTATAAAAAGAATTATATATATTTAAGAAAATTAAAACACTCGTGACATAAAATGTCTAGAAATATAAGCTTATTCATTCGTACAAATACTGAATATGGTCCGATTCGAACGTCGTATATACCTACCATACGGTCATAACCATATAACTCTTGTATTGGCTAGTGTACAAGTGACTACATCATTTAGACAATACAATGATACAATGCATAAACAATATATTGTAGCCAAATAAGGAACATCGCTCTATAATGGTAGTGAAAATGGAAAAGGTCTTGAAAAAAATATCCCAAATATAGTTGGTATACAGTACTAGTAATACTCTTTTAACTAAATCATCCGTTTATGAAATATTAACACGTTGTTATTCAACGTCACGTGCGCAACATGTAAGTTATAATTCTGTGCAATGCGTACACGTAAGTAGTATGGGGCACGTGCGCTCGCACAAATTAATTGTAGACGATTCCGATAAAATCAATAACATGGGGCGCGTATTAAAAATTGCAGGAACTTATGCATTATGCAATTGCGAAAGTGCTATGTTTTATTACTAAACTAAATATTCGGAATTTCTTCGACAACCAATAATAAGGAATAATGTGGAAAATTTAAAAACGGGTTTTCATAATTTCAAATAAAATTGTATCTATTTGAACAGTCTCGTAGTTTTGCTAATAAATATGTAAGTTTAATATAAGTTTAAATAGATAGATAATTTAACTTGATTAAATTTAATAAAAAAATCCGAGTGTGAATTTGTTTGATAAAATTAATTCCATTGGTGTTGTAATAAAGTTAACACACATATTTATGGCATAAATATATTAATTATTATATTTAATTTTATTAGGAACCTATCGTAATAATATGTGTAAAAACGTTTAGAATATAAATATAAGTATACCTATTGTAGGGTACAGATGTATAGAAAACATATTAGTGGCTAATACGAGTACGAGTATTAGTATTATTATTATCGTAGATAATCTGATAAAGAACAAATAAATAGATAGATTAACTTACCACCTAAAATATATTGTATTCTTAAATACAAATTTTTATTATACATTTTTCATTACCTATTCAAATACTGGTGTTTGTTTATTTAGTGGTTGAATAAATTAATTTTTTAAGATTCGTCGACAAACAGATGAAAATGATGTCATGTTGTTTTGTGTTCTAAACGTTGGTCTTGTTCTAAAGGATCTGTCTAACAGCATGCCTTATTAACGCGCATGAAAGCGTTATTAACATCACGTTGTATTTTACTGCAATTCTTATCAGACGGAAAACGCCGCCATAAAACGCGATGTTGAGATAAAAGACAACTACGTATCCATTTTAACGCGCGTTACAAACATAATATATCATATTATTTTTCTGTCTATTGGTTTTTGTAGTTTTATTTTTAATGTAAATTTGTAGTTTTTTTGAAGTATGGCAAAAACAGACTCCATTAAGGTTATATTTACCATTAGGCAGGGTAAGTAACTAGTAAGATCCAAAGACCTATAGCCTCTGTTATTATAGGGTCTAGGATTTTAATGAATTAATGAACCTTTTTTTTTTTTTTTAATGCGATTTTCATCGTATAAAAGGAATATAAGAAGAATATAATTCTTTTAAAAAGAAAATCATCGTAAAATTGCACATTTTTTATTTTGCCTAAGAGCCTCAAAATTCCTAATCAGGCTCTTCATAGGATCCCAGTTCTTGACATAACTGATAATATTCACCGCAATTATCTTTTTATTTGTTTTTAAATTACTTTTTTTTCGGAGAGTTTAAAAAACTGAAAAAAAAAGTAGGTACCTATATGTTCTTAAGAACTCTGAAAGACATTTTTTATCGAATGTTGTATTATATAGAGCAGCAAAACTTGGCTTACTGTACTTGACGACGTACATGAAATAATGCGGCACGGTGGTCAGGTACATCTTCTATATCAGTGCTTCTCAAGCTGGGGACAAGAGTCAAAAGTAAATTCAAAAATATTAATAATTAATCTGTGTGAAATATAACATTTTAGAATAAAATTAAGGAAAAAATATTATAATTTTTATTAATGAGATTTTGAAGGTTTTACATTAAATTTAATAAGACTTCATGACAATTAAATTTGATAAGTACTATTCTATAAATCACGTTTTAATAAACATTGCCTTAAAATGTACTGTTCTCCAATGGATTACCATCCGCTGCGGTGTCCGAGTGGTTAAGGAGTTGGACTTGAAATCCAATGGGCTCTGCCCGCACAGGTTCGAACCCTGTCCACAGCGAATGGTTACAAAATAAATTTTTGCAATTTTTTTTTATTTATTATTCATTCAATTATTACATTTTTTACATATTTTCATATACACAATTTGTTGTATTTTTTTTTCTTTTTATTATTATCACCATTAACACACGTTTTTAAGATTAATTAATTAATTTTTAATTTTTTTTACAAAATTTTTTACTAATTCTTGTAGGCGATAAAATCAACAACTTTAGGTCTTTATTTTTAGGCACCTACAAAATAAATTATATAAAAACACGATTTACGTATTTTTAATTTTTTTCTGGATATACATCATGTGCATACGGTAAAGTGTCACTGAATACTAATGAAATTAACAGAAATATTCTACGAGATTTTTATTTTCGTTAACGAATTTTGATTATTTTATTAAAACTTATAATAATTGTTCCTTAAGTAACTTTTTTTTTTCTAACATATTTTACGTCATTGATGTTCCAATACATTTTACTGAGTGTGTAATACGCCGACGAATGATTGAAAATAGACATTTTTTTTAATTTAGATGGTGGTAAATATGCCTAAAGTTAAATACGCCTTAGGTTTACTACAATATCATCGTAAAAACATTGTACACCGTCATTAATTAATTCAAAGTAAAACCTAACGTCTATTACAATATAAGGCCAAAATTAAAACCTGTACAACTAATTACACTTCTCTACGAAATTCTTGAAACTTGAGAATATACTACGTACATCCGTGAATTTTCAAAATAATGTGGAGAGCATTCGGCGTACATATAGTATTTACCCTATGACAGGGATGGCAAATCCATAGCATGTATACCCAAGGTGATAGGCAAAAAATTATAATATTTACATTAAATTGGTATCTTTAATAATAAATTTCAACATCACAATGTTAGTGCCTTTTTACTATTGTCGACGTCTTTCAAACAATTAAATTGTAGATTCGTAGATTTATTAAGAACTTTAATGACATACTAAACGTAACATTATGGTATATCAGCAATTTTGTCTATTTTTCCTTCGACTTATTCATGCAAGTTCCAATATTTAAAAATTAATTTTTTAAAATCTGATTTAATAAAATTGACTAACTGATGAATGTAGTATCGCATATACTTTATTGAATGTTATTAATTTTTAACCAAATATCAACGAATTTTCAATTCAACAAAATGAATCACATTTGAAAAAAAAATTTAAGTCATTTTCAAAAACAGCTACTATATTTAATATTTGATAACATATTGTACGTAATTATACATTGTCTAACATCGAATATTTATTTTCAAATAGTTTGAAATTTTTTTAGTTTATTTTGTATTAGCAGATTATATTTATTTTATGTTTTTCGGTTGAAATGGTTTGATTAAATGGTATGAAATTATGGCAATTCCAGTTAACAACATGTCATTTATTTGTGTTGGCATATTTTGGTGTCACCAAACTAATTGGACTTCTGAAAGTTGAAAAAATGAATTGCTCGTACCAGGGGCTTTAGGGGTGATAACTTAAAATATAGGTATGTCCGTGTTCGCGTTTACACTTCGCTGGCGTGATGCAATGGGTTTGGAATATTATTTATCTTATACGCTCATCGTATATAAGTACATGTATATGTAAAATATATTATATCCATACCGACGTATATTTCGCCGTGGCCAGCAGCTTACGTATAAATTATATAGAGTGACCGCAGAAGGTGTGTTAAACATTTTCTATTTAATATCTCATAAACTATAATATTGTTATTGTCAATTCCAATAACGTATTGTTCGCACGAGAACTTCATGTTTTGTAACTCTTTAAGTTTATCGTGGTATCCTCGGTTGAAATTTTAGCTTTCTATGTTTAATTTTTAAACCATGTCAGGTACGTAAAAAGATACTTATTTATTTATTTATTTTTTTTTTTTGTAGTAGGGGTTGATCTTCTTCAACATTTTTAGGGCTTAAAAATTATACCATAAAGTGGTATATACTATACATCTTAATTCATGGTTGCTACAATACGATATTTATGGTGGGAGGATTTGCTCTCTCCCCCTAAATTACGTGCTCAAACCATATGTTTATCTATAATTTCATATTGTAATGTTGTCGCATACAAATAATTGTATGCATTAATTACTATAATATATTATAACAGCTACTATATACTTAAGCCACTTGATGTAAATTTAAATAAATGACGATCGGAAGAAATGTGTTTACTTCCATCATCTTATTAATGTCTTTATGTATTTATGCGAAAGATCTAAGTAGTGCCGGATTAAACATTTGCGGGCCCCTAGGCAATTACAATTTTGGGCCCTAAAAATTATTTTTTTACATACATCTTTAACATTAATATCCAATAATTAAAATAAACAGCTTTAATAATAACCAGCTATTACTAAGAAATAAAATCATGTTTATTACATTTTTGATTCGCAAGAAAAATTAATTAATTATTATATAATTTATAATTTTTTCAAAATAATTTTATTATTATTACTGCATATAACACCTACAACTTAATATATATTATATTTCACAATGACTATTGTTCGGTCAATTCGTAAATAAAATACAGGTATCATTAAATATAAAAAATATAGTTTTCCGTCTTCACAGGGCCTCTTAAATGAGTGAGACCCTAAGTCGAGCGCCTACTCCACTTAATGGGTAATCCAGCATTGGATCTAGGGTATAGAGGACGACCTGCTAACGATCACATAGGACGGTAAATAGCGTTTTTTTTTCTACATGGTTGTTGAGTGGAGGCTCTAAGGCCAAAGAAAAGCACGAGCTAACGACGGACATGTTTTTGTTCTCTGTATAATAATCGAAATTAAAGAGCCACAAGAGCACACAGAGAGGAATTTAGTTTTCCCAACTGCGATACGCGTGACAACTGAAAAACAATAATACGCCAAGGTGCACATTCATATATCGTCAAGTGAATGTCTCGAAGAGCGGTTAAAGAATTTGGAAAATTTGATAAATCAATTTGGGAAAAGGAAGAACAACATATTATCGTCATTACGACCGTCTCTAAATGTATATAAGTACGTGCAGCAATTCTTATTATTATAAATCGCAGATAATTGTTTTCAAATTATTTTCACATTAATTCGTCTCGTATTCAAACGTGCCTGCCTTGCGAACGTTTCAAATCGATTTAGCCTCGACACCTTTTTTCCTTTTTTATTTTTATTTTTAATCTAGTTGAAAATAATTATTTTTTAATTTCTCGTGATCGCTGTTTCGATATAATGTACGTTTTTTTTTTTTTTTTTACTACGGGGCATACACGAGAAGTAAAATCTTATTTCATTGATCTGAGCGGAAAATGTCACAGATTTCAGTGCTAATTTGTAACGAGGAAAAAATACGCGAAAAAAATTATAAGCAACATTCGCATAATGCTCGATGCGATGTCTGAAAATACAATTCATAAATCACTGATATTTTACACGGGTATTGAACAATTATCTATAGTATAAAAATGTTGAATACCGCCATAGGCGTGAGCCTATGACACCTACCCCTTGAGTTTTTCCGGGTTTATCGGTTATAATTATTTATAGTCCGGGAACAGACAGAATTGAAAAGCACACGGGGAATGTTCATACACTTTTTTTTTTTTAATGTTTTCGGATAATATGGCTTCTTCGTTCGATTCGCCATAAATCATTTTAACGAACCACTATATTCGTGTACACATAAATGCGTTGTATAGAAAATGCATTAAGATTTCACATCGATGCTTACATGTATATGTATAACATATGATGTGTATATAACGTGGAGGTGAATACTCTTTAATATTGTATACTTTATACTATTTGCGATTTGCGATCCGAATCCACTTGTTTGCGTTGATTAATAACGCACGAACCGCCGACTCGCCGTTACGCGCGACCTTAATCCTTACGACCAGCTTGCTACGTATACGAGTATACGGTTTCAGTTAATTCAATAACGGCCTTTGACGTACGTTACAGGCCGGGGAGCGGTTAACCGGCGAACTGTGTCATTTAATTATTCGGAAAATCTCATTGCACTCACTCGTAGGTCATTTTGCGACGAACAAGTTACATAATAATATATGCATATTATTTTTCAATACTTCCCGTCTCGCCGCGCGGATTTAAAATCAGATTTCCGAATTCAATTATTGTTTGCTTAACGCGCCCGCTCGTATATACTATTATAATGTATATATATATATATGTATAGGTGCACCTGTACTGTACCGAATACATTTTAACGAACTCGCCCCATGCATCTGGAAATCACTGGGAAAGTGGAAATAATAATGTTAATGACATTTGAAATACGGCAACATTCATCGCGTCAAAAATGAACGCAATATTGGTTGAGTTAATTAAATTATAATCATGCAGAAAATTCGTGATCCTAAAAACTATTCATTAACAGATACCCTTATATGCATGAAAAACGTCGTTTAAATTTTTTATAAGATAGTATAGATATTCTACAAGCTGGAAAACGTTTAAAAATAATTAGTATAAGTAATAAATTGGTATATAATAAATATAATTTATTTGTCTTAAAAACAATTTTAATAAAATTGATATAAAAATAAATACAGACTGTGAATTTTTAAAGGATTCGATTAAAGTCAGATTGTAAAAAATAAATTGAGGGCCTTGAAAAGTTTAAAATCGCCGAAGGCAAAACTTCCTCGTGAACTGAATTTTTCTCACGATTAGTGGAAAATGATCTATAGATTTAAAATTAGCCAATTGATTAAATTATTACGAAATCAAACTTGTAATGATAAACCGTTTAGAATAAAAATTACAGCTGTTTAGGTTCATATTCGATCTTGACATAAATTTTCAGCCTATAAGGAATCCACTGTTCAAAATCGCATCAGCATCCTGTAGGACTAAAAATTAGTTATAAACCGATACTGAAAATATTATAATGAAGCAACCGAGTAATTATACTATACTCTTTTTTTTCATTAATAGTTATTATCAACGGAAACGATACTGCGTGCAATGTCGCGTAATTCACGTTTTCTTCCAAGGCGATTTTATATAAGTGCCAATTAAAATGTTGACCAATTTTTATTCATTTTTAATCTTAGCAAACCGGATAGTACACGTCGCTACGTACTGCTTACGGGTGTACACTTTTGTATATTATACGTTTTAAAACTTCACTCTAACTTATTTTTATTTTGCAAACTATTTAATGCAATGTTTAAATCGATATATGTATAAAAAGAGCTCGATATATATATGTATAATACATGTACATTATTTCCGCACGAATCACACCATTAAAACTTTGCTAATACGTCTCCTATATAATTTTTTCATAAAATGAAATTAATATAATTATTATTAGTTTGTGTTACAACTTTATATTTTCTTGAATCTTCCAAAGTGTCGCGTGCCGTCGAAACGTATTTACAAAGGTTTACGTAAATTAAAACGTCAAGAGAAACGTGTAGCACAAATATATATATATTATAAACAATTATAAATTAAGGACAGCGGAAAAAATACAACTCAGCGCGATTTGTGTTTTCCGGTGATAAGACCTTTTTCAAAGATTTAAGAAGTCTGAGTTTTTGACAATCATAGTGGAGAAGAAAATACGAGTAATATTTTTTATGCAAATGCAATACGAGCGTTACATATAACAGCTATCTTCAGCGCTTTCTCTCTCTCTCTCTCGTCTGCTATCGTGCACGTCGCTTATTTTTCATTCATTTCATTTCTTTCCCTTTTATTAAACGTTACACTGATATTCATACTATTACGCACAATGTATATTTATTATTATGAACATTCTAACGTTTTCTTTCATTTTGTTTTCTTTTTAGATTATCGTCGTGCCACATTCCCACAACGATCCGGGATGGCTGAGAACTTTCGAGGGCTACTATCACTTGCAAACCAGTAAAGTACTGAATTATATGGTTGAAAAAATGACAGTATACAAAAACATGACGTTCATTTGGTCCGAGATTTCGTTTTTCGCACTGTGGTGGGAAAGGTAAGATTGTTTGCTATTATTTAATGAATTCAGTTCTGTGTTAAGTTGTAATGCCGTTGGGGGCACGCGTATTTTACCGCCTCATCAAAGATATGAATATATGACGTTAATGAGAACTATAAACTGTTTATAGTTAATATGATCGATACATATTATTATTTATATTTAGTGTTTACTGCAACTGTACAGGCGTACAAGCAATATCTTCGCCCGTCGAGTCTCGACTGTGTTTACACATTAATGCGCGTTAATATTGTAATCATTCAAATTAGATGTATGTATAGTCGTACAGGTATAAGTAAATAAGATTTATTATAATTAAAAATATTTTTCATATAATACTTTGATCTTTTAACATTAAATTTTATAATACATTTAATAACCGATGGAAAAATTGATTTATTACGAAAAACCAAAAATATGTTTGACAAAAATTAGTATTCGCGAATGCCGCCTATGAAATATTTTCAAATTTTTCCGCCGGAGGCAAATGCCCTATTTGCCTCCCGTTAAACACGCCTTTAAATTAATTATAATGCGCCACAAAAATAATGCCATAGCCGAAATCCTTTGATTATGTAAGGGGAGAGGTGTCAAAAGGGACACGAGGATTTTATATGAATATTTCTTTACAAACGATTAAATACATTAAATATTCTCTGATATGTCTCCGTTCTTCTGACAAATACATGAATGTTTGTAGATTTTTCAATTCTTGTGAAAATTGAAAAAACATGATTTAAATGTTTGCGTGTTAAATATACATATAATGGAAATCGTCGAAACTAAACAATGAACTAAAGGAAACATTAAGACAATTAAAACCAAACTGCGTTCAATTGTTTCTAACACGCAAATATCTATTACTTAACATTATAATAAAGACTTTATTAAAAATTAAATGTAGTTGTATCTAATTTGTAGTAACTAAACCTTTGAAGTCAAATGTGCGATTAAAAATTTTTTCGTACTTCAATTTTAATTATATTTGATAAATCAATTTTTTATTGGCACTTTATGTTCGAATAAAATCGGTACAAATCGAATTATAACAGTATAAATCTATAAATAAAATTTATAAAATCTATAAATTGTTGATTTTTTATTCGCAATAAGAAATCGATTAAATATAACTTCATAATAATATATGTACATTAAAATGTACTTATTGCAAAAGAACAATCGTGTAGATTGAACGATAATATCTAATTATTGTTATGTATTTTTAGTATGGTTCAATATGCTGACTTGATGAATAAATTAAATTTTAAAAAAAAATAACAACGACGCAGAGGGGACGGCATTTGCGCATCATCTGGTCATAGAACTGTATAGTATATGCTGGTTTATGCTCGTTTGCACAGCGGTATATATATAATAGACATTTGAAGAACAATTACTCTTAACATTAACCTCTAATTACTCACGTTTCGTCCGGTTCATGGACACAAAACTACAACTACTACTACATACGTGTGCATACGTGCACTCATCTGTTTCTGGACATTTCCGGCACCGTTGAAATTTCGATGCTCACGGCTGCGGTTCCGCGCTTAAAGCTCGCCCAAAGCCGTATTATTAATCACCGAAAGTTTTCTCAATACCGTTGTTTGTAAATTTATAGCCTGCAACTATATGAAGGGTGTGAGAACACATTTATCTAAATATCATACACGTATGTGTGTGTTATTGGGGTGTAGGGGGTGTATGTCCGTAAAATAACCGCTATGGACGTATTTTAGAATACTCCATTGGGGCAGGGGTCCGGATAACTTTTGTGATTGCATGAATAAATTAAATCTAAAGCGATTATTATATTCTAAGGTTGTGGTTGGTATTAAATATGCACCGATTGGGACGGTTGGGAAGGGGTTCTAGATCCCATGGACCTTTCAATCCATAAATACGTCACTGCCTTTTGATACGCTCCGTGTAGCTGTATACTTTCCATGGGTATCGTCTACGAGAACAGCTATAAATTGTCCAAGTTATACTATATGTACATCGAACTTGATAAAATCATTTTCAATACAATCCTAGCCGGGCGTCCGAGCAATTTTTCGGGGAACTCGAAATGTACGTCGGCAACCTTTGAAGTAATAAAAAATATGTGAAATCCCACAAAACTTGCCGACTTTGCACTTATAGGACCACCGATGAAGTTCGTTCGTGCATCAGGTGACCGTTGATCAACATGAATTGTAATTGTAACGGTAACACAAATTGTTCATCGACGTTGTTATTCGACGCGGAACCGAAATTTCGCAGACAAGAAAATCGTTACCACGCGTATTGCCCTGCGCAGGTATCCGTACAAACACACCCCCGCGATACTGCAACCGCGGGTTTGCAGCGTGATATATTATCCAACGCGCGACGCATTAACATTACCGAAACGGGCAAAAACGGCTATATTCGTCTTGTAATAAGTCTCGGCGTTGCATGTTGTATACTTATATTTTTGAAACGGGAATAAAACCGTTTTTTGCGTTCACCGCCGCGCGTCGTCGTTTATGATATTGCGCTCTCGGTGACGTGGCGGTGTAATAGTACAAATTAGGATTTATCGCACGCGCCGTGATGTGAAATAATAATAATAACAGTAGTTAGTGGAGATTGCGTGTAATATTTCAAAATTAGTCGTGCGAAATCGAATTAATAATACCTATGGAAATAATATCTCAACATACCACCGTCGTCGAAAATCCATACGACACTTGTCGTACAACAACAGTTCGACTTTGCTGTTGTAACAACACGGGATGAGCGTAGGGGGAGAGGGCATAGGACAAGACGGCTACACGAATAATTGAACACTTCCGTTGTGGTGAAACATAATGTCGATATTCCAGGAACATAAATCGCACGTAATTTTACTAGTACGGTACAAAATACATCATTGGAGGACGAGGTCTGTGTGTGTGTGTGTTTAAAATGATCGTTTCCCTCTTTCCTTATTCGCGGTGCGGTTGTCTTACGAAGAACAATACCCTCGTGTCACATGGTACACGACGCGTGTGCATAACCATTAAACGACAAGAAAATCGATAATAATCGCAAATAAACGACAAAATTACGTATTTCCGTTGTACGCAAAGGTAAATATAATACCAGTGGATCCACGCAGCACAATAAATAACACCGTACGTTGCGGGACAAATGGATCATCTTGGTTATAAAAAACGATTAACGATTTCATTGTGTACTGGTAAAAAACCGTGTTTGAATCGACAGTGTTACAGGACATTAGATGCCCTGACTAAATTTTAGTCGAGCAATTTTTCGGCGCAGTTTGTTACCGATTTCTGATCAAGTTTGTAAATGATCATTTGAGTTATAACTTCAGTGGCGCCGAACTCGAATTTTACTCGAGCCAAATAAAAATACAACGGCCTTAAGCACCCCAGCGGCCCCAAACCTAAATTTTTACAAAAATAATTTTTGCTCTCAAATTACAAGTATTAAGCATGATTTATACTAAATAGTCAGACACGTATCGACAGACACCTTACCGCAAAATATTTTATTATGTATTTCAATTTAGGTAATTCGTATTTGAACATTTCCGTTCTGTTCATACACGGGTCCGACAGAGTCCGTTCGACATTTCTCATGAAAATAATCGTGAGGTCAGAGTATTGCAAAGTGCGAACCATAGATTCTTAGGCCCCATCGGGGCCCCTCTGATCTCCAACCTCATTTTAAAAATGTGGTCAGGCCGCTAAGCATAGGGTTCGGCGCCACTGTATAACTTTATGAGTATAATTGGAATGGATAGTTGTTAGAGTTGTTATCGTGTCACACGTTCAAATAAAAGCCAGAGAAAATCAGTCAACCATCGAGAGTAATATTTCCTTACATTTTTTATCTAACCTATATACTTCTATTGTACATAATATTTTTCAGTCACATCTGCTTACATATTATATTTATGTATACCGTGTAATCGTGTATGTATCTTTGTAAATGTACAATATTCTTTATCGGAGCTACGATAATCTTAAAAGCTCTAGAGAACGTTAAAAATTCCTGTGGCGTGTCGACATACATTCTATATATAACTTCTTGCATTATATACAATACATATATATTATATACAGGTACCTATGTACTATCGTTGCGTAACGTTATTATTGTTTATAGAGGTGTGAAGAGATTTATTTTAGACACACAGTAACGCATCATAATAGTGCTTCACTGCAAGTCCTGACTCGCATTCGATTTCTCGACATATTTCAGCTTAAAATTAACTATAATATTACTCGAATGGTAAATAATGTTTTTCATTTACAGAAAATTAACTCGATTATTTTTATGAAACAATGGTGTTGAGTAAAAAACTAATGTCCGGTTCAGTGCCGGATTAAACATTTGTGGGCCCCGAGGCAATTAAAATTTTTGGCCCTACAAAATTATTTTTTACATACATGTTTAACATTAATATCCAATAATTAAAATACAGCTATTATAATAACCAAGTATTGTTAATAAATAAAATCATGTTTATTAATTTTCTTTTGCAAGAAAAATTAATTAATTATTATATTATTTCTATTTTTTTCAAAATAATTTTATTATTATTATTACATATAACACTTGCAACTAATTATATATAATATTTCATAATGAATTTTATTCCATAAATTCGTAAATAAAATACAGGTATTATTAAATAAATAAAAATATAGTTTTCCGTTTTCATAGGGCCCTTTAAATGAGTAAAGCCCAAAGGCAGGCACCTACTCCACCTAATGTGTAATCTGGCACTGGTCAGGTTAGTTAGTCCACTACACCGTTTTTATATTTAATTATCTACTTTTTTTTCATTAAATTATCCATATAAAACTAATATTTCGAAAGAACGAAATTTCAATATTACCCTCACACTATTCAGAATATATTCTATTACATTTTGTGTTTGACTATAGTTAAATAAAATAACTGTTATTCAACTGGTAGCTAACTAAACTCAATAACGTTACCCGAATTCCCGTTGCGTT